TTTCTGGTATCAAGAAAAAAATACTTTTATACCCATACATATTTGTGAACTAACATGTCTCTTCTATTCACACATGATCAGGTAAGAATGGGCATATCGATGACTCATATGTGTGCATGCATGTATTCTAATCCGAGCTTAAATACTTTATAGGACATTGACCCTGACAATATTATCAGTAGACTAACAAATTCGATAGTAAGAACCTCTATGTTTTTTGCCACCAATATTTTTTGACCACCAGGATGCTGGTGGCCTAAAGATTAGAGATCCCTATTGTCGAAATTAAGCCATGCCTCAGAGAATCATTAGAGACATCTGGAGATCTTAGCATATCAGATTTATTTATTTTAGTATTATTTATTTTAAGATTAAATGTATTTATTTTATTTAAATTAAAATTAAACGTTATCAAGAGTTTATAATTATATATATTTAAACAAAAATTTATATATTTTCAAAATTAAATTTTCAAGAATAGAAGATGGCTATTGAAAATTCACTTACGAAAACGTAAATAATTCTCAAAAATCAAATTCAAGAATTATTTGTGTTCTTGAAAATAGATTTTTAAGAATTATATTTTTTTTCGAAAATGGATTATCAATAATATAATATAACTCTTGAAAATCTATTTTAAGACTTGTGAAGGTGGTTTTTAGGTATATAAGCTATTGAAGGTATTTTTATCATTTACTAAAGGTTAAAATTGGTATTTACTATGTAAGTATTTTTAGAAGAAAATTTTGGAGGTGTGTAGAGAAAATGTTTTGGTGTATTTAAAAGGCCCTTGAGGTTTTTTAAGATTCTTGAAGAAACTTAAATTTTGTCCCACTTTTAACCTTAATAATAAATTTTTTCAATCTATTTTACCCTTGAAAATCAACATAATTACATGATAAATCAAAACCTATTCTAACATGAAAAATTGCATTCATAGCCATACGATTGAGTAAAACTGCATTTTCAGCCACACGATTAGACACCTGACAACGACTGGACACGTAGTAGATTAAATATAATAAAAACCAATATTTTTAAAAGAAAAAAACATAGCAGATTATTGCAAATTTAGGATTTTGAATTTTTTATTTTCAGAAGCATTATGTTTTTTATATATGAAACATAGTTGATCAATTAAAATAATAACAAAATAAATTAGATATTTGCAATATCAATAACGTTTCTTAATATGAAAACATAGTAATAGATATAATATTTATAATAGAATATTTATGGTATTTTTAACTACATTTTTTATATAAAAATGTAGTATTTGATATATATAAAAAAAATTTTATATCAATAACTATGTTTCTTGTTATGGAAACATAGTCATTTATAAACTGTAGTTTTTTTATTTTTATAAGCACTATATTTTTTACATATGAAATGTGGTTGATCATTTAATAAATAACAAAATAAATTTGATATTTTCAATATTAATGATGTTTCTTAGTATGAAAACGTAATAATAGATTAATATTTATGATAAAATATTTAAGATAATTTTAACTATGTTTTTTTATGTAAAAAACATAGTATTTGATAAAAATAAAATTTTTGTCTATATCAATAATTATGTTTTTTATTATAGAAACGTAGTCATTGATAAATATAGTAATTGATCACCTGAAAACATAGTAACTAACAATGATCATGTTTTTTAGTTTTAAAACATTGTTGACAATAGATAAAAAAAAAAAAATAAATTGACATATGAACATGATATAAAACCATATTTCCTTTTCCAAACAATATTATAGAGCTCTAATCAAACCCGAAATTACATCTTTTTCTATTTCACACAGCATCACCTTTTAGCTTTGTGATTCAATTTTCATGCGATTCATTTTAGCTTATCTTTTATCATTATAAGATCAGTTTACTTTTTATTTTGTACGATTTGTTCTATATTATTTGTTTGCGTCAAATGTCTTCTTGTTATATTGGTAGATCTGGGTTAGATCTTGATTAAAAAGTTATTGATCTATCATATGTGTTCTTACTATTGGTTGTTTGTTCTTGATCTACAAATGTTTTCTTGCTATTTCTTGATCTACTCAAATATTTTCTTACTATTTGGTTTTTTTTTATGTGACTTAAATCTTGATCTACTAAATGCACATTATTACTTTCGACACACGTTTTCAACATTAACAAAAATATTTTTTAAAAGCAATTATGACTCATTTATCAATAAAAAAGAAGATACAATTGATAACAATACTTATTTTGTAAATGAACAAACATAAAGTATTCAACTATTACTTATTATTACTATGACATTAGTTGTTATGATACTTGAAAAAAGACATAAAATCTTTTATACGGATAAAACTCTTAATAGGCTTCAGATTAAATCATTGAACTTAAACAAAATGGTCTTTGAGAGTGATAAATAGGATGTGGATAATTGTAGAATGGATAAGAGGGATTCTGTAAAATTATCTCAATTGCTTCAAACACAAAGAAAATTAAAGGCATCTAAACATATGCCAATAAAAGAAATGATTATTAGCTTCATTCATATCATTGCCTATCATATAAAATATAAGGTTATAAAGCATCAAGTAGCTAGATCTGAAGAGACAATTAGTAGACAATTTCATGTTGTATTGAATTCTATTTTGAAATTACATTTATTATTGTTTAACAAACCAAAACTGATAGCAGAAAATTCAACAGATAATAGATGAAAATGGTTCAAAATAATACATTAATCATTGTTTGTTCTAAATAAATATTAATAAATCTTAATTTTGTACAATATATTAATCAGAGTTGTTGGGTTTAAAATTGTTTTGGTGTTTTAGATGAAACATTCATAAGGGTGAATATAGACTCAGTTGATAGGCTTAGGTACAAGATTAGGAAAAATAAAATTACTACCAATGTTCTTGGTGTTTGTGCACAAAACATGCAATTCATTTATGTTCTACTAGGATGGGAAGGTTCTTCAACATATGGTAGAGTGCTTAACGATGCCATTATACGTAAAAATGGTTTAAGGATCCCATAAAGTATTAGTTTAATATTTTGGTTTTAGTTATACCATGAAACACATTTTAAATGTATATTAATATAATGACACTGAATTAAGTTTTTACTATTTGTGCGATGCTAGATACGCAAATGAAAAAAATTTTTAATACCTTATAGATGTTAAAAATACCATTTAAATGATTGAAAGTCAGCACACCAACTTACGACACCCCAAGAATACTTCAATATGAAACATTCTTAAGTAAGAAATTGTATCAAAAAATATTTTGTTATATTAAAAGCTTTTTTTATGATTTGTAAAATACTAATTTTATAATGGTAGAAACATTGTGTTTGTACATACATAGACTGCGTTTATAGTTTCAAAACGTCGCCTTTGTTTAATTGTCAATTACTTTATAATTCCATAAACATTGTGTTTGATTAAAAGACTACATTTATAAAACCAAAACGTGGTGCTTATGTGCTTATTTATAAATCAAAATGTAGTACTTAGTTTTTTATTAAACACAGTGTTTATAGTGATAGAAACATCATGTTTGTTATTTATTATAGCATTTATATAAAAAAAATTATCATGCTTGTTTATAATGAATTTTTTTAATTTATCAAATACTACATTTATAATGAAAAAAAAAGTTGTTTTTGAACTTTATTATATATATATATATATATTTGTTCATAATATACCACCTTATTTTTAACATAATGAAAAATGAAAATCATTTTTATTTTTAGTTGTTTAATGGTTGTCACATGTTTAATTTTAATAACATAATTAGCAGTTGAAATATTATGTGTTATTTACACATAATGAAGGATATTATAATAAAAAATCTTTATTACACAACCTAAGATTCCGCAAACTAAATATGGACTCTAACATTCCCATGATGGGAAAAATCATCCATTCCCATGAATTGACACTTCTCAAGAATCATTTTTCTCTCGAAATATAAAATTTTGTGAATCAAACGCTTCTTCAAATGTTTTTCAACAAATTTCTATCTACACTCGTAAGCTGCTTTGCTTATTGGGCAAAATAAGAAATAATATTACTTATAAAAAAGAGATAAACTTATATTAATATAAATTAAAAAATTACATATTTTCTAATTATTAATTTTAATAAAATTTTAAAATAAATAAAGGAAAAAGTTTTAATCTTATCTTTTTAATTTATTAAAATTAAAAATTAAAAAAATATAAAACTGATATAAGTTAATCCTTTTTATTTATATATTTATGTAGAAACACTCACGGTAAAAAACCTCAATCCTCGAATACAAAGGCAACATATCACCTTTCTTTCAAGGGAATAAAAAAGGTTTTCAGCACTATAGAAAAACTTACATAAAAATTTTTAAGTGAAGTTTGTAAAGTTCCTTCTCATAAATGATTTAATAAAAACTTTAATAAAAAATTTAAATTAATAAATTAATAAAATTTAATGTGAAAATCAATAATACGTAAAAAATTTTTTAAAATATTATTTATAATATAAATTTGATTGATATTTATTTAATAATAAAAAATTTATCAATATTTTTATTAAAAATATTTATCTAAAATATATATAAATTTTTTTAAATTTTACATATTTAATTTATGTAACGACATATTTTAATCTATTGATTTTAATTTTAATTAAAAATTTCATCAATTTTACCCAAAAAAAAAAAAAAAAAAAAAAGCTTCATTTAAGTTTTTTCTTTAACATTTTGGATAAGCTCCCCTTTTATTTCCCTCTCTTTCGTCCTAGATTAACTCTTTTTTAGAATAATTAGAGAGCGAGGTAGGAATGTGAGTATTTGAGGGACTCTCCAAAAGGGAAAAAACAAGGGAAACACTGAGAGAGTACTGAGAAGGGCGCTATTCTCTTCTTTCTCTTCCTCTTCCTCCATTATAGCCGTAGTTTTGTTTTCCTTTTTTTTCCTTCTCCTTTCCGATTATGTAAACCAACAGAAAAGAAAGAGAAAAAAATAATAATAAGCGTTCTTTTCTTTCTTTTTTTTTTTTAAATTATTCTTTGTCACATCATGGCAGTTTTTAACGCTAATATTACACTGATGACTTCACATTTTCGAAGGATTTGCAACCTCCCAAGTTTTGCTTTGCGGTTTTGAAGAACAAGCAAAGCGCAAAGCAAGACTGTTCAAAGAAGGAAAAACCCCAACCTCCCTTCCATTATTATTCCTTCCTTCCCTCCCAAGATGCTTTCTTTCACCTGCTTTCTCTTAATATGCTTTTTGGGTTCTGTCCCTGCCTCTGCCAGAGCTGCCTTCAATGTTAGCCTCCCTCACCAGCACCCTGACCCTGAATCAGTTGTTCAAGATGTTCAAAGGTAAGCCCTTTTCATAATTCAAACTCTCTGGGGTTTTGCCGTCTGGTTTCTGTCAAGATTTTGTTTTTGAAAAAACAATTCCCATTTTTCTTACCCATTTTGGAGTATTATAACCCAAAAGCCCACTTTTTTTGGTCTTGGACATTTCAAGATTTTTGTCATGGGGTCTAATTTTTTTTAAGGATTTTGACTAAAAAACATAGTCTTCCCATTTTCTTAGATACCATGTTTTTCTACACTGTTTTCTTCATTGTTTCATACTCAAAAGATTTATCCCAAAGCATTTTCAGGTAAAGGAAAAAAAGTTCCATCTGTTCTTACCAATTTTAGGGTTCTATAATCCAAAAGGCCAAAACCCTTGTTTTTTTTAAGGATTCTGACTGTAAAAATGTAGCCCCATTTTCCCATATACCACATTTTAATAAACTGAATACTCTGTTTTTCTCCCCTGTTTCCTGAAAAATCTGCCGACATTACTCAAAATCTTTACTTTATTGCTTATAGGAGGTTAAATGTGTCCTTATCAAGAAGACAAGCCCTGTCTGTAACCGAAAAAGACCAATGCCTAACCGGAAACCCCATAGACGACTGCTGGCGATGCGACCCCAACTGGTACAACAACCGCCAGCGCTTAGCCGACTGCTCCATAGGCTTTGCTCAAGGCACACTAGGTGGCAAAGGTGGCCAGATCTACACCGTCACCGATTCCTCCGACCACGACCCTGCTAACCCCAAGCCAGGCACTCTCCGCCATGCTGTCATACAAAACGAGCCCCTTTGGATTATCTTCTCAACCAACATGGTCATCAAACTCAAACACGAGCTCATCTTCAACTCTTACAAAACCGTTGATGGCCGCGGCGCCAACGTTCATATAACTGGAAATGGGTGTATAACCTTGCAGTCTGTATCCCATGTTATTATCCATAACATCCATGTTCACCATTGTAAGCCTTCAGGGAACACAGACATTGCTTCATCTCCAACTCATGTTGGGTGGAGAGGAAGATCAGATGGTGATGGGATTTCCATTCTTGGTTCTCAGAAGATCTGGATTGATCATTGTTCCCTTAGTTATTGCACTGATGGCCTGGTTGATGCTATTATGGGGTCCACTGGGATTACTATTAGTAATAGCTATTTTTCTCACCATGATGAAGTTATGCTTTTAGGCCATGATGACAGGTACTTTCATTTCAATGTCTACATTCACAATTCCTCTAATAGTTTAGAGTGTCAAAAACAATTAATACGATGAATTTAAATGCATTGAACGAATCTTGCTTCAAGTTCTTATTATTATTATTATTATTATTATTTTGACCTTTTTCTTGTATAGGTATTTGCCTGATTCAGGTATGCAGGTGACTATAGCTTTTAATCATTTCGGACAAGCGTTGGTGCAAAGAATGCCAAGGTGCCGCCGAGGATATATACACGTGGTGAACAATGATTTTACTGCATGGGAAATGTATGCTATCGGTGGTAGTGCTAATCCTACCATCAACAGTCAAGGAAATCGATATACTGCACCAGGGAACCCCGATGCTAAAGAGGTAGTAGTTTTCTTTTTTTTTTTTTTTTTTTTTTGATTGGTTAATTTTTAAAAATTTCTTTTCATTTTAGATTTTGGTTTAGATTGTTTTAAGAGATGGATTAAATTTATGATCGATTCATGATTCTTGGTGGTGTCTCCTTAACCTTTTTGACTTGTTATGGGAGATGAATACTTTTTCAAGTGGGGCTCATTCATAATCCCCACTCCCAGCGGTGACGCGTGAGATATACTATTATCTGACGGGGATGGTAGTGCATGCCAGCAATGCTGAGGCGTGAAGCCGATATTTTTTTTGGTTCACAGTTTCTCCTTTCTACTCAAATCCACCTTGGACAACAGCAGTAGCAGCCCTTTATTGCTAGCACCTTGTTTTACATATTTTAACTCGCCTGTGTAGGCGCGTATAATGCAATCTCCTTACACTATGCATTTGTAAGCAGGTGACAAAGAGAGTAGAAACGGACGAGAAAGATTGGACAGATTGGAACTGGAGGACAGATGGGGACATAATGGTAAATGGAGCATATTTTGTGCCCTCTGGAGCTGGCCTAAGTGCTCAGTATGAAAAAGCTTCAAGTCTGGATCCCAAATCTGCTTCCCTCGTTGAACAGCTCACTGTCAACGCTGGCGTTTTTGGGGAAGCTAGGTAAATATCTGAAATCCCAATAATGTCCTTTGTTTGGTAGTATTTGGCCTAATAACTGAATTACATATCACTTTTTAACTGTCATTATTTCCTTGATATTTGGGCTTGAAGTTGATTTGAAATAAATTGCTCTGAACTTAAAATCCTTTTAAAGATTACCTTGGTGAAAAAAGTGTAGTGGTTGGTTTATGAAGAAGGTTATTTTAGTCTTTTCATATCTTAAGGACAAAAATACTACTGCTTGCAAGGTCATTTTTTGCAATAATCCATTGCTTTGTTGAACTTTAACCCTGTTGGTCAGAAGACAAAGTCCTGATAAAACCCAATTTCTGCTTTTAGTTAATGAGTGGTAACTTTTGGCTTTGCTATTAGTTTAGAGACAATTAAAAATATATTCTTTTATTTGAATGAGGGGGAAAGTTTTGCATTAGACCTTTTTTTTTATTCATAGATACACGTGATCATGCTTGTGTTACGAATCTGTCTGAGACTGAGTCAAGCTGTCAGCCTTGTTACAGTTCAGTTGTCCTAATCCATAGGCGTCTCCAGTGCTTGCATGATCGTCCTCTTTTTTAATTATGTAGCATTACATTCTTTTTTAAGGTGTAACTACTCTTTGATTCCTGGTTTTTGACCGTTGGATTCTCTTTGGTTACCGTGTTTGTTTTTAGTAACTATTTTCTTCTTCAGACCAGCTCTGGGCTAAGCTAACCATAGGTGGTACCACTTCCTACAAAAGCCTAAAAAGCTCTCAAATCTGATTTTTTGAAATTACCCTTTGTAAGTCAAAACTTTTAAAGTTGATTTTGTTGCGAAAAAGAGAATGTGACCTTACTTTTCACGATCTTATAATTAAAGATGAAATCTAATACTCTATTTCTTTGGCAAAAACTAACAGTTTTATATTGTCATTGTGCTATCCCCACTTATTATAATTTCTATGTCTTTTCCTAACATCACTTCCATTTTTCTTTTTTCTTTTTTTCAATAGGATAAAAGTAATGATATAGTAAATACTAGTAATTGTTTGTTATTTCTTTTTCCTTTCATTCTATGAAATGATTGTTTAGGTTTTCCATTGAGACTACTTACTAAAAATGCATTGTTTGTGATGACATTTCCCTGAATAACTTATATCTATAGAGTATTATGGTTTACAGCACATAATATTAGATTCATCATATTCAAAAGAACAAGAAAAATAATTTTCTTTTCATTTATAACTACTTCAGATATACTTTTAGCATGTTCATAACGGGTATCCAAGGTTGCAGTGTCTTTATCAAAAGGAACTTCCAAATCAGAAACCGTATGTGCACCTGTGTGAAAACAATGAGAAAAGGAGGGGTTTAGTTTACAAGAGGTGAATTGAAGGGGATAAGGGTGGGCCTTTTTTGCTTGGGGATTATTGGAAGGAGACCCACTAGGATCATGTTTTGGTGTTCTACTCGTGTAGGAGGCAGGTGACTCAATTTATATTCCCTTTTTATCTTCTTTACAGCTAGTAAAGAATAGGACCCATCATGTTTATTCGTATATCAGTGTGGGCCCGACTGATGTTGATGTAAGCTGGACATGACAAGTAGTTGTATTAGGAGGGAAAAAAAAGGACGGCTTCCCCTCTTGACTTATTGGCAATATGATAGGCCCTTTTTCCTCTTGTTGTTATGCATGTTACCAACCTTTTTCTTAGGGTGGTCCAAGCTGCAAATGTGATTTGGTCACCACCCAAGGAAGTGGATGAACTATATATATTGAGGCTAACCCCTTAATTCTATCATGAAACCTGGTTGACAGGGTGGTTTCGGAACTGAAATTGAAGTTGAGGGCTAGGAGCAAGTGAAAAAAAAAAAAAAGCACTATCCTAGGTTTCTTAGATTAGTTTCTTTAGTTATTTTGGTCAATGATACCAGTTAATAATGATCGCTACATTTATTGTCACTGGTTGCATATGCGATATTCCTTGGTGATAAAGGATGCATTAAGCATTATTAGTTGAAGAAAATTATGAGAGAGGTTTTCTGTAATTGTTAGTATGATTGTATGCTTATATAAGGTCCCTTTACCGGTAGTCGTTTTCATAGCAGTAGGAGATACTATATTCTTGCCTTACATTGTGTGTGAAATGAAACTTTTCACTTTTGTTGATTGAGGTCAAGAGAAGCATGTCTTCAAAGTTTAGATGTTTTCTAAATTATTAGTCTTAGTATGAAAACACGACTCAGATAGGCTACAGCCAAATCTTAACGTGGAAATTCAAATGACTTTAATGCAATTTGGCAACGAAATCTTTCTGTCTGACAGTTGTGTCTTTTACTAATTAATCAACAGGATTGTAACTTTGTTCTGTCTTAGTCATTTTACATTGCACTTGAGGGGGCCTATACATGGTTTAACTTCCCCGATTTTATTTCTCTTTGATGTAAAACCTTTTTGGTCTCAGAAAGAGAAGTTAAATGAAGGAAAATTGTATTCTCTCAAACTGCCATTGTGTGTTTGCTTTGCATCTCAAAATGGTAACTGCAATTCGAATTATGTCATGAAAAGTTCTATTCAAAAGAACCAACTTGCCTCCATTAGATGTTCCTTCCCCATGTCTGACCCACTTCTTCTGCTTCCTACCGCTACTATCCCCACCTGAAATTTGCTGCCATTGGTTGGCACTATTGAAAAGGTTCTATTTGATTACATATGCATCTGGATTAGGCTAAACATACAATTTTTAATGACCCAACAACCTTTCAAGTTTGAATACTTGGAATCTGGCATAACATTTATGATAATACCATCTATTTTTGTTTAATGTAGAGCTTTTTATCTTCTTATTATGTCTTATTTCTGATGTATGAGCTTTGTGTTTTGGTTATTAATTATTTGTACAGGGAAGAGACTGGAAGCTTTACTGGCGGTGGGTCCAGCAGCACCGGCACCCACAACACCAGTAGTGCAGGGTCCGGTGATGATGGTGATTACTTTGGAATGATATTCGGGAGCAGCGCACCACCGCCTCCACCAGCCACATCTATAGCCTTAATCTGTCTGTCTCTTCTAATTATTTTAATTTTGTACTCTATCACCAACCAAGGTGCTCTACCACCATTATTATCATTATTATTGTTTTAGAAATTACAAAACAAAGGAAAATTTTCGTTGATGATTGGGTTCTTAGTCCCCGTCTGATTTACTTAACACAGAAAGCAGATGCATACAGACACAGACAATATGTTGCAATTAATTGGTTTAAGTTTGATTCTAGCTAATGTTTTTACGTAGGAAAAGAAAAGAGGAAAGACAGCAAAATTTTCAGAGGATATGAATATGGTGTGGATGCTGGGGCAAAATGTTAGATACCACATCAAATTCAGTGTTTTGGGTCAGCTCGTTTCAGCCTTTTTCTATTTTTGGCTATTGATTGGCTTTTTCTTTGGATAATAATAATGAGCATTTCAACATGGCATGTCTCCTTGTTGGAAAATTTTCCAGTCTATCATAGTAGATTTTGTATCGTGACTTTAGAATCCTTTTTTTCTTAGGCTTTTTTCTTAGGTTTTGAGCGTGCATGCACGAGTGTATAACAATATTGTCTTGTATATTTCTAAAAGAATCCAATTATAGACCACTAAAGGTTGATTTTTACATCAGCGCTAACAAATTTTTTAATGGGGTTGGTGGTCAAAGTGGACCTAAGTCTGATTCTTAATCATGGCAAAGATGAAGGAAACAAATAATTTAAGAGGTTAATTTAAACTACTAAATTATTTATAGTATATAATATGTTAGAATTATTAATTTGTACAGTTACTGTAGGTTTATTTTCATAAGTGGATTAAAAATTATTATATATTTTTTTATTCTATTAATTATTTTAAAAAATATTTATCTATCCTCTAATTTAAGGAGTTTTTTTTTTTTTTTTTTGGTGATACTAACTAGGAGCAAAATTTGTTGCTAAGACAATGATGAACTAAGAGATTCATGATAATTGATCTTGAAGAAAATGCACCAAATATTAGAGGTAGACTTGAAACGTTGGTTAGTGTGAATATGCACAAAAGGCAAGACAAAAATTGATTCATACGTACAAAAAGCTGATTGATTGAAATGAAAGACACCTTCTTAGTCACCCAAAGTTTTAAAAGTATCGTCCTCTTCTTTGTCTAGCGGCCAAAGAAATTTTAAAGAGGATTTTGAGGTTTTGATTTCGAACCTCCTCCCCTTCTTCCTATTAGGTTATGTCCTCTTGCAGGTAAAAAGTAAAATTCAAAAAGAAAAAAAACTGAATAAGACGCCGTCTGTGGGAATCGAACCCACGACCACATGGTTAAAAGCCATGCGCTCTACCGGCTGAGCTAAGACGGCTAAGCTTTGTACATAATTTCGTACACCATTTAAAAAAATATTAAAATCTAAGTTTAACCTTAATGGACTTTGCGCACCTAAGATAATATATAAAAAAAATAAAAAACACTCAAATATTAATGTTCGTGCTCTTCACCGCCAATACACCAAACCCTAGTCCAAGATTATTTTGATGGTGGTTGTTCATAATTCAAACCTGTCAATTTATTTCTGTTAAAAAACAAAAAAACTCAGATAAATCATATTTTAGTTGTTTTCATCAAAGCTTAATCCAAAAAAAAAACATAGAAAACGGAAAACATTCCGACTTTGTGAAAATATTAAACCCCGAAATTCTACACGTTGTATTTTGAGCATCATCCATGCCCAAGGAGCCCTAGACAAGCTCAAAATGCACAAGAGGCGAATACTAGCATAACTGACTGAAAGTAACATAAACGTTAAGTCGGCTGTAACTACAGAAAACAAGTCCTCACTAGTCAGCGCGCCTAATGCCTGAAAATAACACGTGGCAACCATTCAAGAGGTCATTGCAGCTTTAGAACCTAACTGTGGAAAACAGAACAAAATAAAGTATCTACAGCACTGAAAACCTTCGGTAAGCAAGATGTAACTACTTCAAAGATAATGACCATCCTCCCTTGCTACTACTACTCCCTTGTCCCCATGAACTTGATGCTGCCTTACCCCATGGATCTTGATTTCCACTAGTTTCTTCTACATCCTTTGACTCAATCCGACAGGACGAAGGCCCTTCATCAGCAGCATTTGATTGATTCCAAATCCCAGCTTGATCTCCAGAGCCAGCTTCTCAGTTCCAGCCTGATCCTTGATCATCCCACCCTCCAGCAGGAGTAATTAAACTTTTATCCAATCCACATCCATGATTGTTACTTTCTTTAACTTCCTTGCCACCGGTTGACTGGTTCCAGCCAGACCATTTCGGTACCATCAGATGAATTAGATAACTTCCAATTGTTATCCTGATCCCCACCTGCTTCATTAGTTGAACCCCGGTGCCTTTATTCCAGCCACAACCTTTTGCATCTTTGGATTGATTCCAACAGGTAGATTGGCCTCCTTGCTCAGCACTTGATTGATTCCAAGTCTTAGCTCTATCCTCGGGACCTGCTCCACCATTCTAGCCTTGGTTACACTTCACTTCATCATTACTTTTCCAACCTTCACTATTGTTTGCCTCTTTGTTCCAGCTGAAAGGCTTATTTTCACAAGAATCACCACCATTGTTCCCCCTATTTTGAACCCTCCTACCACGTCCTCTACCACCATAGCCTCCTCCATCACCTCCTCTACTGCCAAATCCTCCTCTGTCAGATCTCCCTCGTCCTCCATAGCCACCTCTATCTGATCTACCTCTACCCAGAAAACCTCCACTATCTGTATCCCCCCTACGTCTAAAGCCTCTATCTGAACTATCTTTACCATCAAAACCTCCCCTCCAACTTCCACCACTAACCCTATTACTAAAAGGCTTCTTTTGCTCTTCATTTCTGCTTCCGGACTTCCAATCACTATTCTGTTTCCAACCGGAATCCTGGTTTGCATCACCAGATCCTGAATTCCAGTTGCTTTTCTTGCCCCAACCTGAGTCCTGGCCTGCACTACTAGATCCAGAGTTCCAGCTGCCCTTTTTCGCCCAACCAGAATCAACGCTTCCAACACCCCAACTACATTTTTTACCCCAGTTTTAGTCCTGATTAGCATCTGCAGATCCTGACTTCCAATAAGTTTTCTTTCCCCAACTAGAATATTGCATTGCTTCACCAGATCCCAAGTGCGAATCATTTTTCCTAGCCCAATTAGAATCCTGTCTTGCTCCACCAGATTTGGATTTCCAATTGCCTCTCTTATCCCAACCAGAATCCTGAAGAGTTGTAGCATCTTTACTTCCCATCTTTCCCTTGTCCCAACCACCAGATGCCTGATCCCTGCCAGAACTTGGCTTATTCCAACCATCATTTTGTTTCTTCCATCCCTTGAAATCATCCTCCGCATTTACACAGGGTCGTTCACCCCATGAAGATCCCCAAAGTTGTTTGCTCCATGATGAACCTCCAGCTTGTTTGCCCCAAGAACTTCCTCCATCAGCGACATTTCCTTTATTCCAGCCACCAGACTGATTCTGAGATCCACCTTTAGTTCAACCTGTTGTACATTCACTTGTATCTTTCCTGCTATCCCAGTTCATAGTTTGATTCTCACTGGAATCATTGGCTTTCTTCCAGCCACTTGATTCATCAGCTTTCACTGCTTCTGGTTAGGCCAAACATCTACCTGCACTTCTCCAGCCTCCCTCGGCATCTTCTGCTGCAAGTGTTGAACTGCCCCAGTTTCCCTTGCTTCCACCAGAACCATCTTTATTGCTCCACTTCTCTGCAGCTTAACCCCAAGAATTGTCTTCACTACCACTAGCATCCTTCTTTCTACCCCAAGTTTCCTGTTGGTTTTACCCTAAAGAATTATTGTTCCAATGGCCCTCGCTAATACTTGACTTAGCACTTACACCTTTACCTTTGCCCCACAAATTTACTTTATTCTTTTCAGCAGTTGCATTATCCCATGCACCAGATGAGCTTTGAGTGACATTCCTTCTTTTATCCCAACTTTCTGAGTTTTTCGAACTGGCTTTAGCAGCATTTATACTTTTATCATTCTTCTAAGAGGTCATATTTAAGGAATCAGCACGATTTCCAAATTTAAGTTTTGCTCGATCCCAGTTGCCCCCACTGTCTTTTGAAGCACCTGATGGATCCCCACTACAGGTTATAGCTTTACCCCAAGCATAAGATGCACTACTGCCAGAGTCAGTCTTACGAGCAGCTTTTATTCCAACTGTCCTAACTACCAACTTGATCACCACCAGCAGTAGCCCAAGATGAATTCTGTTTTGTACTTGCCATGTTTTCCCAAGAAGTAGATGCACCATCTACAACAAACAACAAAACGGAAAGGCTTCAAGCACAAAGTAAATTCTCTAGAACAGTTAATTATTTATTTTCAAATAAGATGTATCAGTTATACCTGTTTTTTTATCATATCCCTAGAACAAAGTGCTGCACCCCGGGATGAACTCTGGTTTGAGGTTAACTTCCACTCCCTTCATCATCTAGAGTACACAGTGAAAGAGCACACCTTTAAGCATGAGATATATTCTTTTTTCAGGCACTGCCCATTTGCTAATAATGGTGCATTAATCATTACCTTTCTTCAGATCAGTGTCCCCAGAACCAAATAGACTTGGATGATTGCGTTCTGCCTGGTGCTGCAACCATCACAAAACTCATATAACTATGCCCATGGTCATGTACACGTTGTGTCATGGTCAGGCCTTGGTGTGCCTTGGTCCTGCCATGACTGACCCTGAGTTGAGCAGCGGTCGAGACCAAGCTGGCGGGAAAGTGGTTCCAAGAGATGTGGGCGTGCATTTGGAGCATTGGAACATGTTACTAATATGTTGTGCAGGCAGTGAGAGCTCTGGATCACAAGATACGCAGGTAAGTTCGGGACAGTGGTCAAGCACCCTCAAGCCAAGTAGCCCGGCGGGTGCCATCAGTGGAAGCAATGTGCGGGCATTCTGAGCATGGGAATATGTTTGGGATATTGTGCGTGGATAGTCTGAGCCCTAAACCCCAAGATACGCAGGTAAAGTGTGAGGCAGTACGCCAGTGCCCTGGGACCAGCTAACCAGTCAGGTGCTGTCAGTCAAAGCCATGTGCAGGTGTCACGCCCTGGGCGGGCACGCCAGGCACATCAGGCGGACCAGCAGGCAAGCCAGGGGTTGAGGCCCGCAAACCAGGCGTGCTGGCGGGTATCTGTGTGCAAAGCCTAGTAAACGAGTTCAGAACGCCCGCCCGACTTGCAGGCCAGCCCATGAGACCAAGGCCTGGCATACAAGCTGCCCGCACCACATCCAGAAAGGCCCAAGGTGCTGGACACGCAAGGGAAGCTTCTGGAACCAGACAGGATCAACAGCAGCATCCTGGCAGATTTGGTTGAACCTGAAAATCAGGAGTTAGCATCCTGATTGATTGTAATCCCATGATTTTAGCCTTTATTCTAGGGATATGCCATTAAGTTGTAGCTGGAGCCTCAACTATAAATAGAGGGCTGCTCCACCCTCATTTGTACACCATCAAACACTTCTGTTTCAGTGAATACAAGAGCATTTCCAGAATTCTGTCT